GAGGATTTTTGTTTTCTTCACACTGAGATGCAATCCATACTGAAGGCTGTGGTCTTTGATCTTCACCAGTAAAGTGTTTTGTTGTTGTTAAGTAAGTATTTTAAGTCCTCTGAAATTTTGTTGTGTTCAGCAGGTTTTAGTTTTCTCTCTTTAATGTGTTGAGCCTTGGTGGATTTAAACCCTTATTCTATATAGAGAAACTTTTAAGAATTAGAAAGTAGCCCCTTGAAAAGTAGAAGTAAAATTCACAAAGATTCTTTATCATGCTGAGTACTGTTTTCATAGTACATGTTCAGGTTTGCAAATAACTTTTCTTATGAAAACTTCAGAACTTAACTGGCAAATGTTGAATGAACTTTAGCCCCCAACATCCAATAAAATTCATTATAATACTATTGTGGTAGAAGTGATGGTGTTCTTGAAAACACTGACTCATATATAAAGAACAAGAAAGCTTACACTGTTTTAAGTTGAATTATTTGATAACTGGCCAGTTCAAATGGCCAGATGTCAGCAGTTTGAAATTACCAGCTGTTCCACGGGAGAAAGATGAGGCTTTCTGCTCCTGTAAAGATTTATAGCCTCAGAAAACCTGTACAGGGTCTCTGTGAGTCAGAACCGACTCTACGGCACATAACCACCACCACCACCACCAATGTTGAATCAGAAGTCCTGGTTTGGTGGTGTGGGTAAATGCATTGGACTGCAAAGTCAGTCTGAACTGCATGGTCAGTGATTCAGGGTCGCTCTGGGTCGGATCTGACTCAACAACACTTAACAAAAACAACAGTGTTAAATCAGAGTCCTAGTATGGCACTGTGGGTTAATGAGCTAGACTGCAAAGTTGGTTTGAACCGCACGGTCAGTGGTTCAAGCTCTCCAGCCACTCCTCGGAAACTGTATACAGTCGCTATGAGTCAGAACAGATACAACGGCACTTAACAACAATTAACAAGTGTTAAGTCAGACTGGTCGTATAGGGCTGTAGGATCGAACCATAAAGTCAGCATTTCAAATCTCCCAGTTGCTCCTCAGAAACCTTATACAGGGTGAGTTGGAACCATCTCTACAGCACTTCACCACCACCACAACATATACAGCATTGAAATTAGGAAAGGTGTGTTCCAGGGCTGTAGTCTTTCACCGTGTTTATTCAATCTGTATGTTAAGCACATAATCAGAGAAGCTGGATTATATGAAGAACGTGGCATCAGGATTGGAGGAAGACATTAACAGTCTGCGATATGCGCATGATACAACCTTGCTTGCCGGAAGTGAAGAGGATTTAAAATACTTACTAATGAGGATCAGAGACTAGATTGTAGTATGTATTGTACCTCAATGTAAAGAAAACAAAAATCCTCACAACTGGAACAATAAATAACTTCTTGGTAAATGGAGAAAAGATTGAAGTTGTCAGTCATGGAAGTATCAGCCAAGAAATCAAATGACATATTGCAAATCTGCTGCGTAAAACCTCTTTAAAGTGTTCAGTAGCAAAGATACCGGTTTGAGGACTAACGTGTGCCTGAACAAAGCCATGGTATTTTCATTGACCTCATCTACATGTGAAAGTTGGACACTGAATAAGGAAATCTGTATAAGAATTGATGCATTTGAGTTATGGTGTTGGAAAAGAATAATGAGAACAAACAAATTTGTGTTGGAATAAATCCAATCAGAATGCTCCTTAGAAGCCAGGATGATGAGAGTTCATCTCTCGTACTTTGGACACATTGTTAGGAGGGACCAGTAACTGGGAAAGGACATTATGCTTGGTGGTGCTGGTTGTTGTTAAGTGCCATCGAGTCCGTTCTGACCCATGTTGTTATGTGCTGTGGAGTCAGTTCCGACTCATAGCGACCCTGTACAGGATTTCCGAGGCTGTAAATCTTTATGGGAGCAGAAAGCCTCATCTTTCTCCCGTGGAACAGCTGGTAGTTTCGAACCGCTGACCTTACAGTTCGCAGCCTGATTCGTAACCACTATGTTACCAGACCGACCCTGTATAGGGTTTCCGAGGAGTGACTGGTGAGCTTGAACCGCCGAACTTGCAGTTCAAACAGCTTTGCAACCTGGCGCATTAACCTACAGTGCCACACCAGGACTCCCTGTGGAGTGTAGTTCTACATTAAAACACATAGGGTCACCATGAGTTGGAATTGACAATGATAACTGGTTTACA